CGAACGTCTCACGTGCTCGACTTCAACAGTACTCAGTTCAATTACACACTCTCTGACTGCAGTTCAATTACTCATTACCTTGTCCCGTCACGTTGTGAGCGTCTTATATATACCAGCCTATCCCCCAATCTAGTAGTCTCCCGATAATTCATGAAGGTTCGAGAAGGACGTGGCGTGATACTAGTCACGTGACTTCGCTGACGCAACAATATTATTAGTATAAATCATTTGTTCAGGTAGGCTTAGAAATAGCTCGTTTTATAAATAATACAGAGAAATAGGCCGTTTATATTACATGAAATAGTACTTACGAAATATATTTGATCAAAACCAAATGTGAAAAGAAAAAAATTAGCAAAAAAGGGACACATAGTGAACTGAAAAATAAGATGAGATGAAATTTAGCTGCGAAATCCTATCCCCCGGCCCGGGTGAGATTTGGACGGGGGATGATATTTGGTGGCACACCGGTTTCGATAGCCACCTTGGACAGAGCACAGATAGCCCGTTATGTAGATTTGCGCTTAACAACAAACAAAATCGTGCTAAATACTGTTTTTTTTTAGGCTCTTTATTGTGTTTGCCGACCAATAGATGCCATATTTAAATCTCAATTTTCATTTCAAGTTTATTTTAGTATCCTTTTTTCGGTTTTACGTTACTTTAATTTTTGCGACTTCTACCTGGAAAATATGGGGAGGATCGTAGAATGTAAAATAAATAGTACTTATGTCGTGTTTTAGAGACTTGTTTGTTTCTTTCTCTTCCTCACTTGTTATCACTTTAACATTTTAAGAATCAAACAAATCTCCGAACCTTTCGTTTTGCGGTGGCGATTTACCTGTAAACCATTCTTTCTCTAAACCAAGAATAGATCTCACAATTCTTTAAAAGAAATTCAATTTTACACTAAAACTATTTTGAAAAAAAAAATGGTGTGAATTATTTAAAGTTCCAATATCAATTTAAGTAGCTCAAAATAAAGCTTAAAACGTTTGAAAATAAAAATACGACACCACTCGCTAACTGCGAGGGCGAGTAGTTCTGTATTCTGAAAAACGTGATAATTTATGGGAGACACGGAGATTATGATATAAACGTTTAATAAAAGCGTGAAATGAGGGATTGGATTTTTATCTTTGCCATGAAAATAGATGAAGAAATGACGACTATAATACAAATACAGTGTCAAAAAATGAGCTTATACAACTATCTATATTTTTATGTGTAGCAGTACGGGCACAGAATTTTTGTTGCAAAATGTTGTCGACAGGATAAGCCGTGCAGGTTGAGATCGGTGTGAGCCTGCTAAGTCTATAGCAGCTGTCGTTCGAGTGACGTAAACGTAATCTATTAATATCGTTTATAACGTACCTCCTTCGTTCGTTTTTAGTACTAACTCCTTCAGTATCTCTTGTAGTAATGTGAAAATGGCAACTATTGTTCAGATGCTGGTGGCGAAAGTTTACTTACTGTCACGAGCTTGTGTGGGTATTATTAATATCTGTGGTAGTTTTAAACTACTACATTATTCGATTATGCCGGGAACAAAATGAATAATTTGTTCTTAAAGTTTGATCAATAATTATCGTTCTAATAGATTTTCAGGTTAAAAAAAATACAGTCAGAGAAACAATATTCATAGAGTATTAACTTTTAATCAAAACTACAACGTTTCATAGAGTCATTCGAGTAAATTCCGAGAGAGACTAATGCAAACTAATAATATGTACATATGGGTCAATAAAATATTTTGAAAGAACAGAGAAAATGGAAACGCACCAAAATATTTCTATCCTACAATTGCTTTAACTGTCATAGAATCGTAAATTACCCTTTCAGGGTGTGTATTGAATATATACGTACATAAAATATATTTACTTATATTATTGAGCATGCGCAATATAACCTTAGGTTTATTGACATGATGTGTGGATATGTTTTTAATTACGAAGATAAAACAAAAATCAAACTTGATTTAATTAACATGCTACTAATGAGTATTAATTTTTTTTTAAATCAGTTCTTAAACCCACTTGAATTTATAAAGATAAAAAAATATCTATTGAGCCTAATATATATATATATATTTAAGAGACAAATTATACGAGTTACCCAAACACATGTCATTTGTGCATTTTCACTAATAACTACGTGCATGTAGTACATGAATACAGCTTATTGTTATTTGTTCACCTGAATTTATTAAAAATTTCGCGTTTCTTTCAATAGCTTGTGATGATATCTTAAACTTGAATCAAAAAATAGTTACTGAAAAGTTTGTGTTTTTTGCATGAAATGTAAGACAAAATAGTTCAGTTTTACTAACTACTTGAAAACGACAGTATAAGTTATTTTGAGGAGTGCGACAATTCCATTTATTTGATTTTTAAAGGTAATTATTTAAATACAGTGGCAGAATAATGCGCGAAGTTTGACATTTTACGTTTTATCTGGGAATATTTTGCTTTAAAATGCTATTGGCCATTTAGTTTCGTATTTATACAAGTAAAGTTTCAACCCAGTTCAGGTTGCATTCTTGGGTGCACATCATTAACTGAACACCAAGCAAATTATTTTTTAAGTTCACAGATTCTGATATACAAACATAAATAGTACAAGTACACGTGTCAGTAAAGCAACATCTTAATGCATATCCTAACAACTCCTCTACAGTGTGATGTGGAAAATAAGCGAATTGGCTTTATTAAACCGCAAGTTTCTTCCCAGGGAAGTGCACGATCAAGAAATGATGTTAACAATATAAACTTTGTACATTTAAATATAAATTCATTTGGAAAAGTTAATAATATAAGGGATATTTTAAACAAGATTTTTTTAGGTCTACATTAATAATGCCTATTTTTTTAAGTAAATAAACAGTTGTTTATTTAATATTTACAGTTTTAGGTCATCTTATTTTACTCGGTGTAGGCAAAAAAAAAAAAGGCCTAAACGAACATCCCGAATTATTTCACTCAGACCACACTGTATACGGATACCATTATTTGATTTTTCTGAACAAACTACTTCTTAAATTGCAATTACGAAGAAGTAAAAATATGTTTTGTAACAATGTACAGTCAGTTGGTGTAAACATTTTATTATGTCCCAGCCCCAGAAACAAAAAAACAACAAAAACCGACATATTTTATTTCGGAGGAGCTAGAAGATCTAAAAGAAACATGTTACCATTTGTTATGTATTTTCTGTTCTTTTGTTTTAGAATTTCACAGATCCGGGACCATACTCCATACGACTGGGTATTGTCCTAAAACCGTTTCCATATCGAGAGTCGTATACTCCAGAGGAGCAGGATGGTAATGGAGTACTTCGAGGACCGCCGTATCCGTAAGGTGGTTCTGAAGGTGCTGGATAGGTCGAAACGGTGGGAGAGTACGCGTTTGAATTTAACCGATAATTATCGTGATACTGGGGCCTGAAACCCCCCGTAGCCTGTAGTTCATCATCATCTTTTGCCATTTTGCATCTATCTTGATCCTCGTAATCATCATCAGTGTTGGACACTAATAAAACAATCATATTTATCGTTAATTGCGTATTCTTAGAGAGATACTTACAGAATCAATGAATAAGGTAATAAATAATAATAGGTGGTTGTACAAAACCACAATAATACCCTCCAAAATAAACGGTGTGAAGTAATAAAGTTATATAAAACTGTAAACCAGGTATTCCCGTTTACAACGGTTATTAGAATTTAGTAATATCAAACCACGCCTTATTATATACGAATATCGTTGGATCAGATACTCCATCACAAACTTTCTTCGGTGTCAAAAATAATGATGAACAACCGAAAACGAATCTTGCCTTTACACTAATCTAAATAGTGGAAATTTGTCTCAAGTATTAACAGTCTTAATTTAACCTTCTTTTTTATGTATCAATTAGGGTATCAATTTGATAACATCATTTCACCAGCTCTTTACTCTGGTATTGCAACTTTGGAAGTACAGCACTCATAAACCCATTTAGACGTCACAAACCGTGTTCTTAATACTCATTTTTAAGAAACTAAAATCACAGGGTGATGCAAAAGTCACGCACCACCACAAAATTTTTGAGTCCTCTCCTTACAGCTGCTCTAAATGTATACCTTTAATATCGCAACACAATACCACAACAATATTTCTTGTAAGGTCAAAGATATCACAAACAATTTTTGTTAGCAAAATTATACAAAAACAATTAGTAAAGCAAAAACGTGGATCAGCGATATGTTTATGCACTTATGACGCTAACATCCGAGGTTCCATTCCCCTATGTATATAGGATGGCCACTTTATTAGAGACACATGCACACCTTTCAGACTTGGGCCTAAACTGTGTTACCGATGCAAATTAGGTTGATATATGATGTGCTAGGGGGGTCTTTGTGTCGTATATAAACATACTATGTGTTTTCTACCTCTTTAAATGAATACAGAAATTTTCAAAAGGTATTTTGTACTGTTTTCACACCATGTTGGTTAAGAATATCGTTAAATTCATTTCACTTTAGGTACTCATTGTTCTTTGTCATTCACCTAGAGTCACACCTTTAATTTTCTCGTAGGAAAAAAGTGTTTCAGGGTCACTCATTGTTTCTGAAGGTAGACAAGTATATTTTCTATTAGCAGTCAAGTGACCTTTGGAGGTAATGACTTTCCTTTAGTTTCATAGAGGAATGACCAGTCAGGTGTGTAAGTGCCTGTTGCTCTGAGTAAGTCTTACGTAAATGATTGAAGTAGCTAACGTGAGAATTATTCAGTCTGGAACAATATCTCAGAATATTCAGTCTGCAACAAGATTTAAGAGAGATATAATTTGGAACTTCAGATCACTGAGTTAGTACTAACTCTACAGCGAAAGTAACTGTCCTTCATGACCAGTTAAGTACACATTTTAACTGTATTTGCCTTCAATACAGATTTCTTTTATTGTAATTGTACATTTGTGTTCAGTCTTTTTTATTTATCATGATTCCAGTTGTCAGAGAGCAAAAAATTACTTCGCAGTAAATATCTTATCGAATCTCCTGTTATTAAGCGGACCTGTCTTGCTGCTCTAAATGAAATCACCAGTCGTACCTGAAAGTACCACACTTGTAACGTTATAAATGATTGAGGCAAACACATTTTCAGTCAGACTAACAGATATGAGAAAAGGCAAAGGTATTGCAACGGTCGAAAGAAGCGTGTATTAATTTTATGAGGGAGCATTCCCCAGACCCCCCAAAATTGAGCTGCCTTTGGCAGCACGGGAGCTGCTTCTAGCTTATACTTTCAATCTCTCATTGTAAAATCTGCATGTCTAGCCAAGCGCTCTCACTTTGCAACTCCTTTCTACACCATTAGGTCCCATTAAACTCTGTTGGAGATACTTGCAGCTCTAAAATGCAATAACGCATTATACCTGTACCGTGCAGTTCTTAATATATTAATTAACCTTGAAGACTAATACGAACAATTGTTGGCAAAATTTCACTGTTAAAGTCATTCCCTATGGGTTTTGGTTTTGTTTTTTTTTTCAATGTAATGCATGGCCTGTCAAATTTATTCTAGGCGGTGTTCTAACAATGAATTTTTAATGAAAACAGACTAAGCCTTGGAATCATAGATTCCTTTCGATTCCATCAATCACGTATGGCCGTTTATTTCCCAAAACTCTTTAGATGGAAAAGTAAAAAAGGGTGATCCATTAAGTAATTTGACAGAAGAGTCCAAGTATAGAATCTTTTTCTTTTGTTGTTCCCACTTTCGATTTTCATTCTTTGCAAAATGAAATAGAAAATAAATGCTTCCAGTTTTTGTAGTTGTGTTTTTCTTGTTTTTGTTTAGGCTAATCTTACTTTGCACGATCAGTGTGTAACTGTAACTGTGTAAATGTAACAATGAATGAAACGAGTGTGATAGTTTTAGTGTATCTTTCAAGATTATCTTAAACAAGCTTTCCTTTAGGTTTTTGTTACCAAGCACGGACTGGGATACCGAGAAAATTCCCGGTGGTCCCCCACAAAAAAAGTAAGTAAACAAAATACTGTCTGCACAATAGACAGATAATTATTCATCTATTGCCATCACATTAGCATGTAAATTAACACGGGTGTTAATTCTACCAATTACCAACTAAAATGATTTACTTGACAATATTTCTGTTGACGACGTTGTCTCCTATCTTGTGATAGGTTCCTCTGTGTTTTTAAAATTACTGATCGTATCAACTATGTATGACTAGTGTGCTAACACTAAATTACATATACTTCTTATGTATTTTTGTTATTTTTATGACAGATTTGTGGACCCCCCGTCTAGATTTTTAAAAGAGTCCAGTCTAACTGTTATTTTTCTATTTATAAGTCACAGTCTTTTAAGCTAAAACAAAATCCTTAAATCGTCTGCTTCATTAAAAACATATTTTAAAATTCATTACGTCTAAACAACAAGTTTTTAAAATTTTCGAAGATTTTTGCAATTGTGGCAGTTGGGAATTAGATATTAGCAATGAAATATTCATAGATCAATGTATTAACCACCAGCTAGTTTGTTTGTTTGTTGAATTTCGCGCAAAGCTATTCGAGAGCTACCCTACACCTGCGATAGCCATCCCTATTTTCGAACTGATAGACTAGAGGGCCAACTCTTTACCAACGGTTAGTGAGATTGACAGTCACATTATAACCCCCCCCCCCCCACGGCTGAAAGGGCGAGCATGTTCGGTGGCGGGATTCGAACCTGCGCCCCCACAGATTATGTTTGTTTTTGTTTGTTTGTTTTTTTGAATTTCGCGCAAAGCCACACGACGGCTATCTGCGCTAGCCGTCCCTAATTTAGCAGTGTAAGACTAGAGGGAAGACAGCTAGTCATCACCACCCACCGCCAACTCTTAGGCTACTCTTTTACCAACGAATAGTGGGATTGACCGTCACATTATAACGCCCCCACGGCTGAAAGGGAGAGCATGTTCGGTGGCGGGATTCGAACCTGCGCCCCCACAGATTATGAGTCGAGTGCCCTAACTACCAGGCCATGCGAGGCCCAAAGAATTCCTACATTGCAGGTATTTCCTTACTGATGTAACACTAAGCTTTAGTTAGAGTATTCTACACGAAAGGTAATGTTTGAGTTTATTTACCACATTACCAAATTGTCCACAATCTCCTTAAACCATTCCAGTATCTGTGACGCCTTGTGATACCTGGAAAGCCATGCTTTAACCTCTCCACTAATATTATAGCTTCGCGAAATACAGCGTATTAATAATTCAGATTCTACGATTCTATATACCTTATTGGCCTATTGTAAAAACAATGTCAACAACTTCCAAGTTATATAATAGGCTGACTGGTAAATTAAGTTATCTCACCCCTATCCAAGTCATCCAAAGCCTCTTTCAACGACCTGGCTTTCTTCGAGTCAAATATATATTCGTAGATTAATCCAGCGGTGACACCTCCAGCTAAGGGACCGAACCAGTACACCTGGAAAAGTAAAGTTTTAAACTTTCAGCCAACATATTTTATAATAGAACACCGTTCTTCTCCACTTGGTGAAAGGTTTTTTTGTTTGTTTGTTTGAAGTTAAGCACATAACTAAACAATGGGCTATCTGTGCTCTGCCCACCACTTGTATCGAAACCTGGTTTCTAGCGTTGTAAGTCTGCAGACATACCGCTGTGCCACAAGGGGGTTGTCAAAATAGTATTGTTATTTAAGTCCATTATATCAACACCAAACAAACAGATATGTTTCTTCTTGTTTATTTTGATAACAGAGACCACATCTCTACGTAGGTTTTCAATCGAACAATGTAGCTTCTAATTCGTTATGGAACATTATATATCAAATCTGCAGTGTTTTTGTTTTTTTAAACCACATAATTAACTTTAATAGATAAACGTTTTTTTTAGTCTGCTATAAATTGTTTGCCCGAATATCTAATAACGTGTTGTTTGTTTGTTTGTAGTTAAGCACAAAGCTACACAAAGGGCTATCTGTGCTCTGCCCACCACGGGTATACCGCTGTGCCACTGGGGGGGGGGGGCAATAACGTGTTGAATTATAAAGATGTTTGCTAGTATTACTGTACAAAAGTCACGATCACAGAAATTCACGGATTCCATTTATTACATTAAAATTATAATGTTCTGTGTATTCCTCTTATTCCTCACAATCTTGAAAAAATAAAAAGTCAAGAACACTGCAACAATATTCGATAGTTTCCGAAATATTTCACGACATAAAAGATTATATCATCTAGTTTATTAAAAAGAAAAAAAAACGCCAACTATTTCATAGTTTTAATTTCACATAGTAGTTTATTAAAATAACACTCATTTTTAATATTAATCGAACATTATTTATATAGTTATGAAAACTATGCTTTCACGCAATACTTTCTAACTAGCAGAAAACTTTATAAAAGGAAACTCCCAATAACGTCTAATATAAATAGGATCCAGTGCTTTATCACCTAAACATTTTGCCCCAGTGGCTTAGCAGTAAGCCTGAAGGTTTATAACGCTAACTACCGATTTTCGAAACCTGTGGTAGGCCCATTGTGTAGACTTGCGCTTAACAAAAACAAAAAAAATATTCAACACCTGGGTGGTACAGCAGTATTTCTGTGGATTTATAAAACTAAAATACGGGTTTCGATACTCGTGGTGGGCACAGCTTAGCTAGCCCATTGTATAGTCTTCTGCTTAACTACAAGAAAACGAACATTTTATTATAGGTCTATCGCATCAGAGTAGCAAAAGTTTATCAAAAGGACCTTTCTGTAATTTGTTGCTATGGGAACAAGCAAAAAAAGCATTTGTTGTGGTAGAAGCAATGGTGTTACAAGATTATCTTCCTTAGATTTTATTTCTTTTGGTAACATAGAAAAAACGAGGAAAATTCTGCTCTAAAGCACGAACTCTGTAATCAAGTTGTACTCCTATTCAGAAGGTTTGTTGTTTTGAATTTCGCGCAAAGCTACACGAGGAC